ATCACATGAAGATTTTAAAGATCAGTGCACATATGTACCTACTTATGCAGTTTAGGCATTATTCACTTTTAGTTTATTACATTGACACCATTTATTAATTAGACGCATGCTGTAATTCGCGATCTTGAAGGCCATTTCGATGTCTATATCTAAGATAAGAAGCGTTGGATCATCTGCATAAAGGATGCACATAACATTCTGTGGTAAACGTGAAGGCCAATCGTTGATGTACGCTAGAAACAAAAGAGGCCCCAAGATTGAACCTTGCGGAACACCACTTTTATAGCAATCTTCTCGAGTTTAGATTATTTAAAGAAACGCACTGCGCCCTGTTAGTTATGTACGATGCTAATATTAAACATCTGCAGTGAGTACAGGAGTTATTTTGTTGGTAACATGTCGATGTGGGTGACCACATTGCATTGAGGGCGCTACTAGCGTTTTATATGTGACATTACGATTTATCCGATCGCATATTCTAACTTTCGGCACCACTTCCGGTCTAACCGGAAATCAATGCAACTTTTGTTTTTCAAATGCAATAATTTTTACGTTGTTTGAAAAGAGCAATCAATTTACTGTACGGCAACATAAAATATGCATATGCATATAAAAAATAGGGAAATTCGTCATTGGGAAATTTATGAAATCTAGGGTGCAGTGTGCTGTAAGGATGCACGGTGCCTGTTGCATTACATAGGGAGATCCGCGCAAAAGTAAATCTTCAAAACGAAATATTGAACAAGTTATTCGAAGTATTTTCTGTATGATATCGAACACGACATGCTAGATTTCATAGTTTTCTACATATTGATTCATGAGTTTCTCAATTTTTGTTGTATATCAATCATATGCATATTTTATGTTGTACAGATTGATTGCGCTCTTCAAATACTTTAAAAAACAAATGAATTGAATTTAACAAATATTGCATCGTAATGTAATATAAAACTATATTTGACAAATTTTTCGTATCTCACCAAATAAAGGAGATATTAGACGGACCCTCTTATCTCGAACGCACTGTATTTCCCTATTGGCCATCTCAGTTGAGCTATGATCGAGTTTGACGCGAATGTTGTTGGAGACCACCACTTCTATCTAAAAGGGTTGGTCAATTAAGTACCGTACCTGGTATAGAAGCAGATTACGAGTAGAGCGAGGGTCTTCCGTCATTAATCATCTAATATACGTATAGGTACCGAGCCCTGTGGCTTGGGAGGTTTTTTTTTAATTTTTTTCAGGTGGATGCAAGAACTGAGCTCACTTCTTGGCCTCAACATCTAACTTTATTCAAGGTAAGACTTGCCATATATGTTTCCCTATACGTGCGAAAATTTACCCGGTCAATTTAATTGTGGAAACTTGATTCAGTAATTAGTTTAGTTGCTAATCAATCATTCAGTTTGGAGTAATGTTTCAATTGTGGAGACAGTTTTTATTTTTGATTTTATATTTGAGAATAAACCAGTATTTCTAGTGGTCACTGTTATTACTACCCCCGTTTATCAATATTCATACGGGGAGAGTTAAGAGAATTTGAGTGGCGCTCAACCCCATTGGTAAGTGGTAAGAAAGGACGAAGATCATATGCCCAGAACGAACTACCTCTGTAATAGATCTCAAGCTTTTATTTTGTTTTCCAACCCTGAGCTAGTTGGCCGCTTATGCGCCGGGTTTGGGATAAAGCAGCACCAACTCTGCGTACCGCGTTATATATAAATCTACAATTTAGCTGCACGCTGCAAATTTCAAAGTGGAGCTCGACAGTATTATCTTTGACGTGCAGTAGAGGCTTAAAGCTTAAGGGCTTAGATTATTGGTTCTTGTCGAGTGTTTACGGTTTTAGTATTCGAGCACCCCGAGTGTCAAACGTTAGATATTGCTATAGCAATATATTATTTTTTCTTGTTTGTGTTTTTATCTGTTACAGATAAGGCAGAAAAACATCGTTCTGAGCTCGGAAAGGCTCTTACGACAAGAGGTCAAAGGTAATATTAACGTAACAGATTTCTAGGAAATATTTCAAAGAGAGTTTTAATGATTTTTAATAAAAGTCTGAGATTTCGAAGAGAAAAGTTTGTAAAAAAATTTTTATTTATTTATTTTTGAAAAAGATCTTTTCTAACAATATAGCCCCGCGTTTCTTGAGCTTTTCAAGGCGACGTTCTAAGGAAATTCCCTAAATAGGTTTTCATAGAAACTTCAAGAAAACACCTAGGAAGGTTTTGAAACAAATTTTTAGCAACCCCAAGCAGGTTTTAACATTTCCAAGATGAATTGCTGGGATGGCTTTGGCGGTTTCTGAGAATTTCATAAATTTTTGTTAAGGATAGGCGATAGTATATGCAAACTTAATCAAATCCGAGCACCCTCAACCCACATTCAGGTGGCGTGGTGCCCAGAATAACGAATCCTCATTGAAATAGTTCAAGAAAGGTAATGTAATTCGAATACGATTAAATCACTACATGGGGATGCATCGTGCTACATTTTAAACGGGATGAAGGTCCCCTGAGCGGTTAATCTTCTAGGCTAAGTACAAAGAGAAACATAGCAGATGAACTAATTAAGAATCGAAAGACAAAAAGTTCCTCAACATTAATTCCAAATATCAAGATATGTACTCGTATACTCAGAAATTAAAAATATTGACTTGTAGGTATGGAAGCAAAACTCCAAAATCGTTCACGTCACTCAGATTTCATAAACGTGAATTTTCAGGAGTATCTGCAAAATGAACCACTTTCCAAAATTACGGTCACGTTTTAGTAGCATTATTAATGGCCTGGTTTGAGTGACGTAATTGCATGGCAGTGACGAGCACTCCGACAGGTTGTAATTAGAATCGTATGATTGATCGTTCCGACTTTCCAGTTTTATCATTTTCCACTTGGCGCATTAGCATAAAGTACACCAAAAGTTGCGGCACGCGATCGATCGCAATCGTTTTTCTGCCTTTATACAATAGAAGCTCGACTTGGAATAATTTCTTAGTAACAGCCACAACCTCTCTTGAGATGAGAAATTTTAGACCTTCCTTCGTTTTATTGCCACACATAAAAATAAAACTTTGCAGATTAATATTATTTTCATGGAACGCTCGTAAAATATTTATGAAGTACATTGCATATGTGTACATATGAATTGAAGTAATGCGGTTTCCGATTGCTTTTCTTACATTAACAAAGGGTGAGGTAATGTTTCACACTATATTTTACGTGACTAAACCAAGAAGTCTGTTTACTACCCGTTCGTTTTAGTTTCGTGTTTTACGATTGCATGAAAGCTATACAAATACTTTTTATTTCTGTTTTTTGCAATTTTAATTTTAAAGCAAGGGAAATACAACACTTATAATGAAATAAACGTGCGTAACAAAATACCGAACCAAAGAGGCGAGTCAGGAAAAATTAATGAGGCAAAATGTATGCAGGTATTAAATACAGGTAAATTATGTTCGTCGTATATAGATTTCCGTTCCTTACCAGCAATTCTATTATCACGTTTATGCCCATATATTTAACTGCTGACCAAGAAGAAGTCGTTTTCTGTATTTTTTTTTCAAGAATTACTTACCTACTTCGTGGAAGTTATTAAACGTTATTTAAAAATTATCTTTTTTACAAGATAAGTATAGATAAAAACAAGCCATAAGCGTCAAGTACGGATCACCCCAAACAGGATAGAGCGATCAAATAGATTTGTAAAAAACAGCAATAACTACTTTTTTCGGCTTCTCAATCAAATGTTATATTATTTTTTTTCCAAAATCCAAAACAATTCGTACTTTTTCGATTAGACTTCTCAATTAAAAGTTATAGACTTAGAAACCAATTTCGAAAGAAAATTCAAAGGGCTGTAACTTTTGAACTAGTAGCCCAATCTTGGAACTGTTTGAAATTATGGATTCTACAGCCACATTCTATAAGAAAATTTTTTTTCCGGGTCGATCTGAGACAATTTTTTTTACGCGCCTCAAAAATAGGCAGTGTATTATAACCTTCCTTTTTTACCAAAAATCGACTACACCAAAATTTCTCGGGAAAACACTTTTTCTTATTAATTTTGGTGCGTAGAAATCAAAACAATTCGTACTTTTTCGTTCAGAACTCTCAATCAAAAGTTATAGAATAGAAACCACTTTCGAAAGAAAATTCAAAGGACTGTAACTTTTGAACTAGTAGCCCAATCTTAGAACTGTTTCAAATTATGGATTCTACAGGCCACATTCCATAAGAAAATTTCTTTTCCGGGTCGATCTGAGACAATTTCTTTTTCGCGGCTCAAAAAAAGGCAGTGTATAACCTTCCTTTTTTACCAAAAATCGATAGCTCCAAAATTTCTCGGAAAAACACTTTTTCTTATTAATTTTGGTGCGTAGAATCCAAAACAATTCGTACATTTTCGATCAGACTTCTCAATCAAAAGTTATAGACAAGAAACCACTTTCGAAAGAAAATTCAAAGGACTGTAACTTTTGAACTAGTAGCCCAATCTTGGAACTGTTTGAAATTATGGATTCTACAGGCCACGTCTCGTATTATTGTCGCTCGTTGTCTATATTGGTGCAGTTTATTTAGACCCCAAATTAAACTGGGCGTCTCGTGTTGATTACGTTTCCTCTAAAAGTAGCCGTAACGTAGGGGGATGCTGTATGGACAAGTAGGCTTTGGCTTACTATGGTCTAATACACATTAATTATGAAATATTTTGTTAGGAACACTCTCATCGTTAAAAATGATTACTTGGTTTTCAACGCCGAGCTCTTCGTGCTATTGGAGGAACGCCTTTTAGCGCAGATATTAGGAGTAAATTCAGTTCCTTGAATATATGTATACTTACGTTACCATGATTTAATGGACCATATTAAAATTGACGAAGAATATCCAATTTCTAAAGGTACTTGATTAAACTCATTGACCTCCTTGGTCTCACGCAAAAATAAATTTAATTTTATTTAAAATAAAGTGCCCCCTCCTCCCAGACCCTTCAAAACTATGGTTTACGTGAGTATTTTGATTTATTTAAAAGGAAAGAGGTGAAAAGTACTAGATATGCGCCACTGAATATACGTAAAAGGTAATCAAAGCTCACTCTCTCACGTGGAATGTAAACGGGTTTCAGAGGAGCGAAGCACACATACAACCGTACATGCGGCGATTCATTCGTAAATGACTTGGGCTTACAAATAAGTAAGATTATAAAGATATAGATAAACAAAACCGATAACAGGTAACCTGTCCACATGCATATACATACATACATACAGTGGTATTTATTAACAAGTAGACTTCCGTGTATCGTTTTCCCCTATGTCTACTTTTGAAAGACAAAATCTCTTCTGAATGGCTCCTAATTTTATGCATTTAAAATAACTTCTTAAAACAAATAAAGATCTGGAGGTCGAGGTCGTATTAATTAATTTGAATATTGTTGGTTTGGCTTCACAGAAAATAAATCTTTTATGCTCCTTAAACTCTTACCGGCACTATATTAATTCACAATATTAACTTTTTCTTCAGTTTAATACATTGCACACGAAGAGAATAAAAATAGTGAAGCAGAAGGAACAATATTCAAATTAATTAACATGATAGCCAGATATTTATTTTGGTTGCATAATTAGGCGCTCTTCAGAAGAGATTTAAGTAGACATACGGAAAAACGTCTACTTCTTAATAAAAATCACTTGGGAACGAAATGTGATATCGCCATGAGGTTTTGACCAAACATATCACCACCGAGACACATTGGACCGTTGATTTTCATTTGTTTTTCGCTCCACTTTATCTCCACCGTACATTGTGGGAGACATCTTATCTTTGAATTCCGTGTAAAGTTCTGGTTTCTTTGGAGTGGCCGAAAAACGAATAGTCTGAGATCAATCGCAAAAAGGATCTTTCTTGATCTGGAACGACTTGTCTGAAAGCGGCCGGTAAACAACATTTCAGATTTTATTCTGTAGAATCCAAAACGATCAGAATTTTCAAGATAGGACGACTACAGCAAACGTTATGGGCAAAAAAAACAATTTCTAAAGCTAAAGGACAGAGGTTTCTATTGATATAATGAAAATTCTGGGCATTTTGAATTCTACAGGCTATAGGTTTTTTCGGTGAAATAGCAAAGAGTCGAAGAACGACACTAATCTGAAATCGGCAGGGGTAGAGACTTTGCTCCACACTTAGAAATCTGACTGCAAAAAAATTTAGATGCAAATTTAGAGCTACCGTTACAACCTAACTGTGATACTTTGATGATTTTAATCTACTGAAGGGTCTGTTTGTAAAAATCAAATATGTCAAAGCATAATATAATGATTTCGATTATATAATGTTACAAGTTTTCTTTGTGTCTGTAATTTACATTATAGTACGAAGGGTTAAAGTGTAAAATCCCAACAATGCCAAAGTACGAAACGTAATTAGGTTATTATCGTTTAGGATCGTGCGTTGGTTAAACAACGATAATGAACCAAACATCAGGCTCAACTTTCGGAATTTCACATCCCTAATTTTCACCCTTAAAATCCATATTTCAATCCCATTGTCACGTTCACCCTATAAATCAGACGGCAAATATTTATCCACGTATTACTTTACACTATCGTACAGAATTTGCAAAAATGCGAGCGCTGTAGAGGATAATTTCAAACGTAGTTTTACACATTATAATCCCTTAGAATGGGCAAACAGGACTCTTCCAGAAAATAGAGAAACAAGGATACATCGGTCGACTTATTCCCAGTTCAGAGCGTTTAAACCCGTTTCCATTATGTTAGTCCTCTCTGTACAAATCTCACCCCGCAAACGCGTGACAGCTTTTCTCTGCATTGGGGCATTCTTGTAGGGAGAGTTCATCAAAAGCAGGACTCTATAGAGGTACAGCTGACGTTACAATTAACACGCGCCGCGGCTCTTGTTTTACACATAAGCCGCTCAACTATTCTTCCCGCGGTGAGCTTTAATAACCTTAATAGGTTTGCTCTACTTTTCTCTTTCTCTTGTTCAAGATTATTAATGCACGCATGACTACCTCCTACCCATTCGCACTTTCTAAACGTTATAAATGAATTTAACGTGGGGCGTCGCGAAGAAAGCATTGTATCCATTCATACTTTGCATAACTGTGCCCCTTTACCAAGTTCAATCCATTTAACTCTTGTCAAACTTTGCGCGAGAGTTTCGAGGAACGTTTCTCATTTAGGAAGTCCTCGACAGGTTTGCGATCGAATTCAAATTAATTCCAAATATTTTCAATGTACCTAATGAGAAGGAATTCCGCAGCAATCTTAACCCCTTACGCTGTTAATGAGCGTTGCACAAATGCAATTGCCGTGAACGCCATTAATTTCGAGCTTTTATTTTCAATTTTATTACGTAAGCGTAATGGAAACGTGCTACCGGTGTCAATAAACCACGGGACATTTAAGCTGCGATCGCCATCTCGAAAAAATAGAGGAACTAAACATGTTAGGCCGGTAGTTTATTGAAAAACAATTAAACGCTTGGCTCATTGTACGAGGCGTTTGTTGAATACCACGAAATCCAAATCTAGTTTGAGGTAGAAAAAAACTTTCGAAATCCATAAATTCGTCTTTGGTGAAGTTGTAGATGGGGCTTTAACGTAGTTTTACAGGATTTTGCTAAAAAAATGTATGAGCATAGCAAATGACTCGAGATTGAAAAGGATTCAGATTTGTTACTGAAGTTAAAGGTGCATCCATCTACGTATAATGCTTGTATTTATAATACAATGGTATAATCCTAAATAAATTTCAGAACTATTGGTTTTTGATTTAAAAATAGGTTAGGCGGCATAACTTTTACTCGACCCTGTATACTTATTTTTAAAACGGCACATTTTTTTAAATTATAGTATTAGACTACGTCTATTTGCCACAGAACTATTATTGAATAGCGCGCATTGATGTTAAATTTCTATTTTGGATCAAACTAAAATTGTATTAAAATACCGTAAACTTCTTTATATGAATAAGACAAAAGAGTAGGGACACTAATGGAGAGAGGAATATTAATATCAATTAGCTCTTGATATAGAAGAGAGGTGGGATCTGCATTTAACTTGCAATTTAAGATTATATGGTTTAGATCTCCAATACTTTCATTATCACAAGTACAAAGGAGGGAATCAATTATACCAATCCTATGAAGATGAGCTCGAAAACGGCCATGATTGAGTTTTAAACGTGTAAAAATGGGATGAGTTTTCTTATAACTGAAGGTAAAGTGTAGAATGGTTTTTGGTAGGGACGAGTGAATACTGAAACACTGACTTTTTGAGTTATTTGCAATTTCTTTGTAAAGAGATTTCCAAGAGTTTCTTGTATTACTTTTGAAAACATTAATTAAATCGCTTAAATCGCAGACCTGTGTTATCTGTTCCAGATTGCAAGAATTTTTAGCAGCTCTATCCACTACTTCATTTCCTGTAACTCCGCAATGCGCCTTGGTCCAGATCAGGGCAATTGTTTTACTATCTTTTTTTAAAGGAATAATAAGTTTTTTAATATGTAATAATAACGTATTTTTGGGATGATTTGTGGATAGCTTGTAATACCGATCTCGAATCTGAAATGATTGCTATATTGTAACACGAATTAGTAATACACCAGTTCAGAGCTTTATTAATGACAAAAGCTTCAGCAGTAAAGATAGAGCAAAATTCCGATATTCTGTAACTTTCAATATAATTTATGTTTATAAAAAAAAACGGAGCCAGTGCCTCCGTCATTCTTTGACCCATCTGTGTATATTGTGGTCAGCTTTTCTCCAAGATTACTAAGTACAGATATAAGCATGATATTAGTTAGAATAGGGTTATCAGAATAATTATAGGGAATATGGTTTTTGGTGTGTCTATAACGACTTCCAAATTGAATTCATATAAAGGGAGTTTAGCGTGCTGTAATATTGGGTTTTGGTACGGGTTTGTATCAATAAGAGAGTTTGCTAATGGTGGAGAATTTTCAATTCTCCAGTAAGGGTTTGTCAAATTTTCGTTACAAACTAGGTATATTTTATTGACCATAAATGCATTAAAAGTCCTGTATTTAATTAAATATTTGTTAGCTAAGTACTGTCTACGTAAGATATAGAAGCGTTTCCTGTGCTTCTGCTAATACTGCTTGATTTGGTGAAGACATCATGGCGCCTAGACATATTTTTATGGCTTTGTATTGTATCCGATCCACAGTTAATAACTTAGAATTTGAGGCTGAACCGTATAAGAACACCCATAATCCAGTATGGAGCGAATATACGTATAAAACATCAAGAAAATATGCTGATCTGCGCCCCAAGATTTTTTTGACGCAAAAGGAAGAATATTAAATCCTTTGTCGCATCTTTGTTTAATGTTTTTTATGTGACTGCTCCATAGGAGTTTCTTATCGATAATTATACCTAGGTATTTATATTCGTCGACTATAGGGAAAGTATAACCCAGGGTATATCCACTTATGGAAACTTTTCCAGCAGTTAGCAGCCTATGTCTTGTCAGACACATTATAGCTGTTTTTCTTGTGAAATACTAAATCCCATTTCGTTGATCCAGTCTTTCAAGCAATTAAACATACGTTTCAAGTCTATTAAACAGCTGTCATACGAATCGTGGGTGGTATAAACATACATCATCAGCGTACTGAACAATTTTGGTATTGTCGTCCACCAAACCATGCAGATCTGCAGTATAAATATTAAAGAGGAGTGGGCTCAATATTGAGCCTTGTGGGAGACCGTTATAGAGAATTCTAGGACCGTGCATTATTATAAGTGTTATAGCCTACATTTTATCATTCTTTCGAAGGTTTTCGTAACGCATGACATTAATATTTGGGTTGTTATGTGCACTTAATATATGGGAACCAATAGACTTGGTGCACTTGCTACGTAGGTGGACCTGAATGGAAAACGCCCGGGAGGCAGCGAGAGACACGCTGCTGCGAGAGACACGCTGCTGTGAGGGAGGGGGAGGGGATAAGCTTTTCTTACGCCGCGCGTGCTGTTGGTCGTCACAACTGCTAAATTGTAACTACTAGGGCAAGTGTGGTATCATTTTCGCATAAATAAAAGATGGCCAATCATTTTCTGAAACAAAAAAAGCATCTTTACGGACAAAAAATCGAATTACGGTCAAAAATCTAGAATTTTATTTACAAAAAAATTCTTCAAATGCCCATAAACTTTGAACTAGCGCCGATATCGCCTACAAAAAAATATAATTAAAAATCCAAATTCATACGTATTTTAAAAATATAAGCTTCCTTGGAACAGTATAATAAAAGATGCGTTTAAAAAAATATTAAACACAGCGCGGCAGAGCCGTAAAAAGTCTTAGAAGAATAAGAACAACGAAAAGGACTTCTATATGTTGATAGGGTCCTGTAACTAGTAAGAATAGTTTTCTTTATATAGAATAGAGCACATTGTTAATGTTTTTACAATAAAAGATATTGTATGTACCTTATTGTTTATGTATTTATTATATAGTCATGTTTCAATGTAGTCTATTGTCTATTATGAGCATTTTCCCTCGCAGTCGCATAATTACGTGCACGCTGAAATCATCTGCACCTCTGGGCACCGCACATCTTTTTGCATTTACACCGGATCATTTCTATGCATGCATTGGCAGCTACTGGCAAGTCTGTCCATTTAGGTTGCCAGCCAGTCCGTGACATCTGACCCCATACATGGACAGCTTGGAACACTGCCCGAAGAAAATGCTGATGTAGAGCAGCTTTCCTCGGAGGTATGTTCTCCAATTGGCGCTCTTTTTTTGTGAATAGATGCTGTCGGGCATCGTTTACTCAAGTAAGTAAACTGGATATGAAACAAAAAGGAAAAATATTCACTACTATATTGTTTTATTTACTAGTTTCATGAGGGGCATATCACCTGTCATATAAAATGACGACAAACTTTTCAATTACAGCCAAAGCCTCGCCGATCCTTCCCTCATATGCTGCCAGAACAATATAAAACATATTTTTTATAGGGCTACAAAAAGCGAAAGTCCTACCCCTATTCCACGCATTCACGGGATGTGACACTGTCTCCAGTTTTAACGGGAAAGGAAAGCCATGGAGGCATGGAACGCATTTCTCCATGCCACAGAAGGGTTTCTGGCAGCATATATGAGGGAAGGATCGGCGAAGCTTTGGCTGTAATTGAAAAGTTTGTCGTAATTTTATATGACAGGTGATATGCACCTCATGAAACTAGTAAATAAAACAATTAAATGCCGCACTTACAAAGAAGTAGCCAAAAAAAAACTAACGATATTCTCCTTCCTATTGGAGCCAAAAATTACATATGGGCGGCGGCAATTAAAATCCCATGCGTTTTCATTAACGCCTTATTAACGTGCACTCGATCACAGCTTGAAAACAAAAGAGAAAAATAAATGTTGATCATCGATAACGACTTTGTAATGAAGAAAATAGTTCGTTACTTGAACGATTTGAATGCTTAACATTTATCATATTTTTAAAAAGAACATAAAAGTATTTCTTTAAATTACTAAAAATTTTACCCGTTAAACTGGACCTCTTTTTAACACATTTAATCCCGAAATAAACGCATTTAAATTTAAAGAACAAGTGACCCTTGGAAAAGAAAACAATTGAATTAAACATTAATAACGGCCGCCTAGATGTTCAAAATGCGGCCCATCATTTTCAATGCACTTCGCAAGTCTGCCCAGTAGATAAAAGGGAAATTTCAATTTCGGCCCTCGAAATATTTTCAATAGCTGTTCTTAATTCTTTCCTCTATGTTTTTTCCCTGGTTGTAGGTCCGGTTGCAAAAACGACATTTTTGATTCTTCCCCACAGAAAGCTCAGCTATCATATCAGATACCACTTTTTATTAGATAAAAGCCGGAGAAAATTAAAATTGTGTCGGTTGCGTCCCTTAGTGGGTATGTTACATACTCGAACATAATTTCCAGCAATTTCTACTTCTGTTACTTAATTTTTTACAAGAAAGACTCATATTTGGCTACCCGATACAAGCAGGAATCCTGAAACAGAGTCAGCAGAACACCAAACTTGAAGATGAACCACAATTTATGCTTTCTCTTTCTCTTCTCTAAGCGTCGCTATAGCTACGTTTGCGTCCTAACTATTTACTGGCGAAAGTTCGAAACATTTACCACCTCTTAGAAATCATATTTAATGCACTTCAGTGGGATACGTCTGAACAGTTTACTATTGAGGACGGTGTCACGAAGCTATTGATGAAAACGGGTCTTTTGTTAAGGTTCACAATCGTGCTTCTACCTATCGTTGTTTGTATGCTATTTATGATATAAGTACTAATGTAATTAATGGCCTTTATGTAGATTGCTAGTAAAAAAATACGCTATAAAAGCTTTATTTGTTGTTATTCTTTAAAGGCATCAGCAAGACGTAATTTGTCGAATTCGCCCAATGCTAAGGGTTGGATAAAAATGCGTTCAATAATGAAAGGGTTTAGTTGTGTGTAACATTTAAGCTGAACTAATCATTTACAACAAAAAGGTCCTTTTGTTGTCACCCCATATTGTCAACTATTGAATATTCATTTTGCAATTATAATCCTCCTGCAGCTGATAGGACAATACCAGGCTCGAACGGAGTTTAGCGTTACTTAGAGAGCGGGGTGGTGGAGGGTAGGTGCAGTGTACAAGACAATTTAATAGGATAATCCCCAATATTCCTTCCTTAATAATCTCCATAACGTGCCTCGGAATATTACCATATATGAAAATGTATGTGTTTGGGGAGATCAATCAAGTCACACGTTGAATTAAATCAATGGCGTATTCAAATTTGGACATTGATATAAATTTTTCAATTTGGTGTATTTATACGCAGACAAATTCCACCATATTATACCTACAATTCAACCATAACTTTAGTTGCCCATCTTTCATAGTGTAACAAAAATGGATTTGTGGCCTTAAACAACATACGTACGTAGAAAACTACAGGAAAAGAAAGAGATTTGGCGAAAGTGGTTACGTAGGCATATTCCCAGTTTTTAGTAAAAGTAATAGATCGCCTTAAAACATTTAAGAGATTCCGTATCATGAGTATAAAAATACACTTACAATAAATCTCTAAAGCGGCAGAGGCAGAGCAGATGATCTCGGTGTGTCATTGGATTTGACCCATTTTCAATAAGCTTGTTACATATGGAATATAGGTCAACTGTGCAAAGTTTGAACTAAATCGGCCCAAACTGTTGGCAGTTATCGTGTTCACGGACAGACGGACACTATGGACTCCCCTATAAATCTTGCATCGCTCGCTGCTCCTTAATACTGGGCTGTCATGTCATTTTTTGAGCCATTGAACAGCGATTATTTTTAGTCCGTTAAGTTTGAATTATTTAGTAATTCAAAATTATTTTAGGTTCTACGACACCCCTCACTTTTTGTTGCTAGGCGAGGAGCGATAACACAGCCCCAAAAGAAGAAATTCGAATTCCGAACTGAAGAAAAGAAAGAAAGCTTGGGCATTTCAACCACAACAAATGACCGAGGTAACCACATCGAGTGGCGGTACCTCCGGCAAGAGGAAGGCCCCAAAGGTAACATGAGGCAGGGAAGTATGCACGCCAAAATTGAACAGAAGAGGCTGAACCAGACAATTCCAGCTGCAAAATAGAAGGAACGCACAAACCCCAAGCAGCGCGGTTGTATTCCACAAACGACTAAACTAATCATTGAAAGATGCTCGTATACAAGATTAGATTTACATTATTTTGTTCCAGGGTCCTCTTAAATTGAGTTTGCAAGATCCCTAACAATCATACTGTAACCTAAATTTAATTACGTGTATTGTTTATTACAACAATTAATTATTAATACCCGTCTTAAAATGAATTGATTTATAACAGTTAAAATAAAATTATTGCTCACGAATACACAATTTATAACAGCGCAAACTATTTATTACTTCGGCTGTCAGGACAGTTTCAATCCGCTCAAATAGCAAAGTCGAGTTCTCCCGAATGTTGTCGAACATTCTAGAAACAAAATACGTCATATTTTCCGGAAGGAACGTTACATCCGACTTCGTTCCCTATCGCCGATGACTAATCTTCATGGCGCCTCGATGTCTACGGGATTTCTGGAAAATTCGCTACATTACGAATCTTCTGAGAACCCCTGCAAAGTTCCCTTTCTAGTCTCAAGATGTTTAAGGGTTCTTCCTACCTACACCTACACAGTTTTCAACTCTCTTCTCCCAAAATGGAACATCTCCGCACTTCCCAGGTGCAAATCCTACATTTCAATTTTCACTTCATTTGACTTTCAAAACGTCAATTACGTAATTGAATGAAAAATTTACGCTATACTTGGTCAAATTCACTCCTCTTTACAAAAAGAACAAAATGTTGTATTACGAAGAGCGTATCCAAAATCAATAAAGTTTACATACCTACCTTAGTCTCTATGGAAGATTCCACTCTTCATCCAAAAAGACGAAATGACTTCCTACGGAACGAGATGATACGAATACTCAGCAATGACAAATCCTCTGGGGGACAGTATCACATGAAGCTGGTTTGTTCTTTCCATGTCCCTAAACGTGTTCTTTTCACAATATGAATTGAACTTATTTTTACCACCCGCACGTTAATAAGGGAGATATTACATTCGGGTAAAAATGGCCCCCACTTTTTTGACAGAAATACACGGTTTCACGCACCAATTAAACAAAATGATGTCGGTCGGTCTGTCGGTACTCTCATGTCCGGCTAAACGGCTGAACCGATTTCAACCAAATTTGGTACACATATATTCATATCTGCGGTAGCCACAGCAAATTTTTTTATTGTGAATTTTCTTAATTATTGCAGTACTTAAATTAGAAAAATTGCAAATAAAAGTAAGCTCGATTATCTCCATTGATAGAAAGTACGGCTGATGCTGAACTTTCACCTAAATATATTGTCAGTTTTTCTATTTCCAAATATAATTTTCATGCCCACACATCGCTTTAAATTTTAATATTAATTATCTTGCTAGTATAACAGAAGTGGACAGTATTGTAAATTTTATAAGAAGGAAAACTTAAAATGAACTTCAGAGGAACTTAGAAGTACTTTTGTTATTGAAAGGTGAGAAAAGGAACTTGCAGGAAACTGGAGAGAATTTTGAGGACCTTAAGGGTTCCTATCCTCAGAGCTCAGAGAAGCTTGAGAAAAATATAGATTTTTGAAGAGAACCTGTAAAGGGTTTGAGAAAAATTTGACGGAAATTTGATAGGAATTCGGAGAGATGTTAATGAACCTTAAAAAAATTTAAGGAGGAACTTGAGAGGAACAATGGATTTCAGGGATACATTGTTTCGAGAAAATCTGTAAGTAATAATTTTGTATGCTGGACACGACAATTACGTCGCTCGAAAATAGATTTAGAAACCGTATGAAATTTTTCCAGAGTATATCTGTTCCTCCCCAATGAATTTTCAAAAATTTCAAAAACCATTTAATCGAATTTTTTTCTTCATGAATGTAGAATATTGCACACAGACCACTACGAAACAATTTTGAAGACGTAGGTATGCTAGCAAGTAGGAAGCACAGCAAAATTCAATAAATAGATGTAATGCTAATTCTGATTTCGGATTCTGAGGTCTCTACAATTAAAACCAAACTGTAATTTTTATAAACATTGCATAGTTGGCCTGTAGAGTACAAAGTGTGCAAAGAGTTTCAATGAAGTCTCCAAAGAAATATTTGTTTCCAAATAAATCAACGGTTCAAAGAGTTTCGTGTAGGAGTTACGTCCTAAAGTTACCAAAATTTGCGTTTCGTCTTAAATTTGTTTCATAGCAAACATAATGTGTAAGAAGAATGAATTAACAACTTTTTCTCAGGGTTTGGATATGTTTTTTTCTGAATTTGCAAAAAATTCCTCCTTAACGATGGTATACCCTTAAACAAGAATTGAAACAAATTCTGATCTCAAGCAAATTTGGTATGGGAGCTTTATACTACATTAAAAAAAAATTCATTCCCTTTCAGTAGAGCCTCGGAAGTATTTGCATTATATTTTGCGTTTTTTGAGTATGCTTTTTCATTGATTGATGGACAAGAGGTGTTGAAAAAAATGGACAACGTGGGGATCAGTAGTAGTGTCCTAAATGGCTATATACTTAGTGTCGTCAAATTTTAAGGAGTGATTTTCGGAATTTTAATTGCGTCTGACACATTTTTCGGTGCTTAACCACAATTTACAATTGCGACCCCTAAGGAACTATACGGTGAAATCATCATCGCGGCATCAAAGCAGGACAAAACCCCGCGTTAGCTCAAACGACAGTATAACGTAATGCCGTTCGCCTCGCCCACCTTTTTGGGCAGACAAGCCTAAGGTTTTGCCCAAGTTGAAGTTCAGTTGCCTATGAGCAATATACCTGGTAGCTATCATCACCTACAGGCAATTGAAAGCAGCATTGATGGGCCGCACAGGATCAACCCAACTACAATCTTTTCCAGTGGTTCTTCTTGGAATGCGGAGTGCATTCAAGGATTGTCCCCAAACATCCTTCTCGGAACTGGTGTGTTGGAGAAACCTTCTCGGAGAAATGATCAGCTCTCTCCTAGTCACCAGGAGGTACCTGGTCAGATAACAGTCTTTACCGATAACCTTCGACAAATTATGTCACGCATTTGTCCAACGCCGCCTCTCACCACACTAAATCGTCCGTTTTTCTGTTTGGAGACCTGGCGACTTGCTCGCATGTTTTCCTGAAAGACGATACAGTTCGCGCGGCGCTTCGGAACGTCCATACACTGGTCGATCGTCTTCTGCCATATTAGAAATTAACTAATATAGGTAATTCAGAATAAGTATGTTCAGTAGGAGGAGTTGTTTGGATTCATTCAATAGATCTTGCTGCTTGATAAGAAAATAAAGTCTTCTTTTTTGCCTGCACCTACGGTAGTTCCTCCGGCCCCCGAATATTAACACACGTTCCGGCCTACAGTTACGCTTTCAAAGGAATATAAAGTTTACTCACTCCCCAGAGGGGTGATGTGGCGAGATGAAAATTTAAATAGAGAGCGCTGAAAAGGAGGCCATGGCAACGGAAAAAAGAAAAGTTTTCGGACCCAGGTTTTGGGAGAATAATTTTTTTATGGATAAACATGTTTTATATTGCAAATAATATCTTGCTCGGCTAATGTTTTTAATACTTTTACCCATACAGGCATACACCCGCCTTAGGTAACAATACAAACCGAAAACCGAGATTTGCGAACACCACGCAATGAGTAGAAGCACAGGTCTTCCGAAACTGAAAACTTATAGATTTACTCATACTCCTCGCAGATTAAAAAAATTATCAAAGTCCTCGTGTGAGATAGAAGGGACTTCAGCGCATTTTTGTGTGGCAGATTAGGGTTTTGATAACCAGTGTTGACTCCACCATCAATAAAAGATCTTGTCGAAGGCTACCACATTCCCTTTGACGGTACCCACTTACCGACGTCCCGTTCACTCCAAATTCGCGTTTGAAGTTTTCACTCCACCATCACTTAGATCTTGTCGGAAGCTACCACATTCACACATTTTGGTGGATTTCGCTAAAAACCTTCCACAAGATAGTACTTAATTTTTCGGACACTTCTCATTGCTCGAGCTTCTATTGGCGACACGAGAAAGAGAGACAGCGATTCGAGATTTACGAAACGTTAAACCGCGTGACAAATTTGCAACGGAAAGTAAAAGGCGCCCGAAGTTGACTACCTCTCGAAGAAAATAAAAAAAACCTGAAAAACCTTCACGTTAGTTAACTACGCTCGAGGATGACGCCCAGATGTCGCCACATCATGTAGCCCTGTCCTTATAAGGTTGACAAATTACACGGCCTTGTAGATACACGTACAGTCGTACACCCGTTGCCATTCTACAAGAGTTCTTCTACGTGCCCACATTTGCTGCCAGCCAGCCAGCCAAAGTGAGATTAAAAGCTACTTTTTACAAATAAATTTGCAAAAATGCGCCGTACTATAATAATGCGATGAATATGGGATCAGGGGATCCTCCTCAAAACTAAGTACAAACGTCTCTACCAGGGGCGGACTGGCCCGGGAGAGCGGGTGGCGATTGCCACCTGGCCTGTACGTCATAATGGCCCGTTGGAAATTTATAAGTATGTGCTGTATTTAGTTTCTTGCACTATTAATAAATTATTAACACGTTTCTCTAAATCGGGTTGATGTTAGGTTGTTAAAAAATTAAAAAATTCTGTTTTAATTGAAGTGTTTTACAATGAATTTATCATTTTTTGTCGTAGCATGAAAGTGCTGAAATACAATGATAGGCGACGCGCCTCGTTTGGATTGTATATTTTGTTACTTTTACTTATCAGCTGCAATTTAAAAAACATGTATTGTAATTGATTTCCGAAAAAGGAGTACTTTAAAATGAAGCAAAAAATGTTTTTGTGGTGCACCGCAGAGCTACCCTAAAATTTTTTACCGGGTCGATCTGAGACAATTTTTTTTTCGGGCTCAAAAAAAGGCACTGTATAACCTTCCTTTTTTATCAAAAATCGACTGCACCAAAATTTCTCGGGAAAACACTTTTTCTTATTAATTTTGGTGCGTAGAATCTAAAACAATTCGTACTTTTTCGATCGGACTTCTCAATCAAAAGTTATGGACTAGAAACCAATTTCGAAAGAAAATTTAAAGGGCTGTAACTTTTGAACTAGTAGCCCAATCTTGGAACTGTTTGAAATTATGGATTCTACAGGCCACATTCTATAAGAAAATTTTTTTCCGGGTCGATCTGAGACAATTTTTTTTCGGGGCTCAAAAAAAGGCAGTGTATAACCTTCCTTTTTTACCAAAAATCGACTGCACCAAAATTTCTCGGGAAAACACTTTTTTTATTAATTTTGGTGCGTAGAATCCAAAACAATTCGTACTTTTTCGATCAGACTTCTCAATCAAAAGTTATGGACGAGAAAGAGGGGCGGACTGGCCCGGGGAGGCGGGTGGCGATTGCCACCTGGCCTGCACGTCATAATGGCCCGTTGGAAATGTATAAGTATCTGCTGTATACTTTAATGGCCCGTAACCTATGCAATTCCACCTGGCCCGTAAGTACCCAGTCCGCCCCTGGTGTCTACTACACATAGGCGGTTCTGTAACAGAAGAGAAGAAGTGAGTGTCATATATGGGGCGCGAAGGATGTACCTACACTGTCTGTCACTATTGACCATTACGCAACAATATTTTAGACAGAGGTTTTGCAATTATGCCCATAGATTCTATTAACTAGAGAGAAACCTGGATAACAGAAGAATCCCATAGCAACCGACCCCCCACCGTAGTAAGTGCTGAGGGCGCAGGCAGATGAATTCTAAATTGGTACTGAAGTGCATTTGAAACCTCAACCAGCTGATGGCGGAAAAAAATTGGGGCAGGGCAGAAGCGCTGAAGTCTAACAAAATAGCCAAAGGGGCCAATTAAGTCTCTACTAGCCAAAGGCTTAAGGTAAACCTCTGTGTAGGAAGTGTGGATAGGAACTGCATATACCTACTGTGCAATTGTAGCGCGTATAATAAGTCAAAACACAGAGATATCTGGGGAAAAGAAAGCTTCAAACCATTCCTCTCATTTTGAAATCTTTCAAAATCAAGTTTAATGATAGACAGACAGGGCGTGCTGCGGGGTACCGAAACTAGACTATAGCCCCCCCCCCCTTCCGCGCCGATACGTCAGTGAACCAAACCATAGAGTTTGTTTATCTCATGACCAAACCAAGGAAAGTAATTGTCTATATTTGAGTGTATGAGAAAACTGAATTTAATTAAATCTTTAGGATCTTTTCCAATAAAAAAAATGCTCAATAGCTATATGATCAGTGTCAAACATATCAAACTCTGACTTTGTTCCTATAACTTACAGAGTGCACCAAGAAACAGCTCTGAACCCCAAACACAGGAGCAGCATGTATTTCACTTGATCCTAAGGAGCTTTTTCAAAGACGATAATAGCAAACATAAAATATTAATTTTATCTGTGATAATAACGAGCAGAAGGATTACATGCCACCCCTAATTACCTACCAAACCTACACAGAACGTCTAATTTCTAAGCATAAAATTTACATTACATATACAAAAGGCTGTCCTGTTTATTCTTATTCATGTGCAACATAAATTCCTATCAATTGAAAAATATTACATCCTAATTAATATTACAAAATTAAAATTGTATTCCTCCACGCCGTACACACGAACTTATTTCTTAGCAAACGTTATTTTCATAGCGTGCGTAGGTGTAATTTTGAAGCCCTGCAACGCGTCCTTTGACGAACCCGACTGCATCTCATTTTCGAATTCCACAAAAGCAATATCGTGCCGGTTGGGAACGAGACGAACCTCCTTAAACCCGGGAAATCTAAAATTTCGAGTTAATTACATCGAGTAATATTAAAGTGGGAGCTTACTGGTTGAAAAGCATCGACAGCATCATTTCGCTGGTTTCGTCAGGTAGATTGGTTAAGAATAGAATTTGATTCGGCGGCTGCTCAGCATTACTTCCACCAGGTATTCGGTTAGGGTCCTTGTTCTTCTTTTTCTTTTTGGGCGCCTCGTCCTCGCCCTTAACTGGAGGTGGACGAATCTTTTTCGGTCGTTCCGTATAAGTGCCTTTCATTCGTGCTATTAGATCGGAATCGGATTTGGAGTACTGTATTCGCTGCAATAAGACGTGATAGATTAAAAAACACCTGACCATTTTTACCATTGGCTTATCGTAAAAAGGGAATCCTTGCATTGAACGTAAAGCATTTGTTGCACTTTGAATCTCCTTAAAGATAACGAAAGCTTGTCCCTTCATTTTCAGAGTTTTCAAAGCAACAATGTCTAGGATTTGACCGAATTGGGAAAATATGGCATATAGAGACTTCTTCAGTTCATCTTTTTTAACTTTTTCGTTTAAATTGTTGATATAAATGGTATTATTTGGTCGAATATCCATCTTGTAAACGACTAAAAAGTGAGGTTAGAAAAACAATATGCGATTTGATCTTTCCAAACCTGTTATCTACTTCTACCGTATATTACGCCTGTTGGTAAAGAACTTTCAAAATTACGGTGCAAAAGCCGAAAATTAACCGAATACAAAAAAAAGCACCGGTAAACAATAGTTGGGTTAAAATTACGCTACAGTTCTACCAACAGTACCAACGTACCCAAAACAAAATCCCCTACTTGGTATTCACTAACCATACAGAGTGTTTCGTCAATTAACGTTATGAATCTGGAGAGAAAACGGAGCCTCGGAAGAGACAATTAATTTTACTTTTAAAATACAATTTTACACAATTTGGCAGATTCTTACTCAGCAGGACCTTTTAGATTTAGATCAACAAACACAACTTTGCAAAATGTACCAAGAAATATGTACTGGTATGAGCCAAAAGGACCTCTTAAAGGTCCATTGTGTTAGCAAACTAATGGAGGGAATATAATGGTAGAGGGGGTAAGAATTTTTGTAGACGGAAGTTGCCACAGATAGAGGCCACTCGCGTGGATAGGTTTCCGTGAAGGTACATTTTTGCAGACATTATTTGACATATGAAAACGCGGGTCCTGTCACTGTCAGTTTTCCACCAAATTCAAATTTTATTAAATTTGCCATTTTAAAGTACCTAATAATTTCGGATCGGTTTGTGCTCTGGTTTATAACTAACTGCCGCCATAGAGTAAATAATGCTGCCGCATAGTGTTTTTATCACACGCAATTTTGTGAATTGAGAATGATTAGCTGCGTATCATGCAAAATTTCTCATAAAGGGAAGAAACAGGGCACTTCCTTTCATCGGTAAGACATGTCATTTATCATGTTGTAGGCGAGGTTGTAGGTACCTAGTTTATGTTTCTTAGTTTTCCAAACGAACCGGTACTTCGAGCAAAATGGTTACCTAACATTTGTAAATATATCTCAAGAACAGCTCTCGAAATTTACTTTTGTGCTCACAACGCTTCATTGACTGTGATTTCGATCAAAGGTTGCACCGGAAAATATCTCGTCAAATATGCAGTAGGTAGGTACTATCAAAACTTGTAATGAACCTGAGACCAACCAATCAATTGTAGCTATTGATCAACACAGTGAATTTAATGGGAGTTGTCAAGTTGTAGTGGCTATAGTAAACTGGCCTTAATTATACTAATGGAACACATCGATGTATATTTAGATTTGTAATCAATGATTATATTAAATCTGCATACTTTCCCATCCTTGTCTATTTTGTTTACTTTACCACGAGCACGAGCATGTATTTTACTCCTTCTATACGTTTTTTTTTGTTATTATTCCTATTAGTGGAAAGAAAATTATATCTCTACGCCACTGAAGTGAGACGCTAATGATAACGGAAGTGGTGTGGTCTCGGGTGTGGTACTTTAATCACAGTTAGAGGCCACGTTTGGTTCCCGTGGTCTACGTCTGGCCAAGCATTTGATTCCCTCCATTACTTTTCTAACTCAATGGAAAGGTCGTTAGTTATAGTAATTTTTAAGAAAAGCAAATTTTCGACTTTTCTGCTTACTACTCAATTTTTTCCAAACATCCTTAATTGTCGCACCTTGTATATCTCAGATAGTGAGCAATTCGAACTAATAGTTCCTTTGTCCTGTCAGAAATGTCAAACAAATTTGTATCAATAAATATTTTTTAGGTTAATTTAATTTGAAAACAATCATCCTAAATTATTGTAATTTTAAATCTAAATTAATCCAATCAAATTCAATAATATTTAGTTATGGACTTACATTCGACACCCAGACATTTTTCTGGGCAGTTATACAAATACACGAACGTTATGAAGGGCTGGCAGTACCGATATTTTATGGTCGACGCTCACGCGGGTCTGCTCCATTACTACCTGTGCGAAGGCGAAAAGCCCGACGGGAATGTGCCAAGAGGATCAGTGCATTTGGCAGGTGCTGTCATTTGTCCGAGCGACGAGGACTCGAAGACGTTCACTGTGAATTGTGCCTCTGGTGACATGTTGAAACTACGGGCGCAGGATGCACGAGCTCGTCAGGAGTGGGTTAACGGCCTGAGAGCGGTTGCGGAGTCTCACACAAAAGTAATTGTCAATTGAGTGTTAAGAGTTACCTTATCGTCCTCGTTTTAGGCGATCAGCGTTCACAGTCCGCCACTACCACCTCGTGAGCATTTGGCAGTACTTGACGCGATGGGTAGCGTCCGAACACAACTGCAACAAACTGAACAGGCGGATGCCGCTTTGTGTCGTGTCATCGAAGCATCGGGCGGTAAATGTTTTACGGATCCCAACCTACTGTTACTTAAAGCAACTTCTGCGGCATCTTTACATTGTCTATTTCAATGTCTGAATATTCTTCAAAGGAACCAACACCAACAGGCGAGAACAGGGTTCGTTACAGACGATGATTAATACATTCCTAGTAATAGTTGCGTAAATGTGTTTTGGAAACTCTTCCAGGTCAATTGTAAGTGTTTGAATGGTAGTAATTAGGCTATGCAGTTATTAAACGATGTAGCTTGAGACGATCTAGTAGTATTTGTAATGGCTTGTATTAAGTTTACTAATTTATAATGATATTTAAATAGGAAAAAGTATTCGGAATCTGTTGTTAGGACCAGCAAGTCGACTTCACTTATCAGAGAACTAAGGTGTTGTTGAGTGATTTTAAGTGGCATTTTTTATTTATTTGTATAGAAACTGTACATAGATTAGTCGTAAATCAATTACTTATTATCATGACTGACATTTTTAAGGCATTTAATGTAGCTACTTATTTATTTTGTGGTAACTTAATTAATGTAAGTTGACTGTATAGTTGTAAATATAAATCTGATTGCCCCTAATTCCTTTCGTTTTTCCATTCATTTCGCAGAAGAAAAACCTTGTCAGGGTTTTGTGAGATAAAAGGTTGAATAATCAAGGGGATAGTTCATCAGATCTTTGTTGTTGAGCCCACCTGAAGGAACTATAGATATGACACTTAAGTCATATCAACCATTTGACAAAGTTGTTGGAATGACCCTCAACTGGGTTAAGTTCTGGAAGTACCAGAAGGAAGGAAGTGGTCCATCACTGTCTTGGTCAAACAGACTGCTTGAGATGGATCAAGTTAGGGAGTTGGTACACGTTAGAAGGGATGCACGCTGTGCAGACAATGGCAGATAGAGTAACTGAAACTTGAGAGTGTTTTACATATGGAGTACCTAACTTGTCCCCATAACGTGGCCAAAAATCTAAGAGAATAAGAATAGGATCGTGTTTAAGCAGGAATTACGGTAATAGTTTAAAAATTAAATTATTATAAATTAAAAAAAAAAATAAAAATAATTGATAACAAACTCAATATAAATTACTTCACTACTACGGCGGGGGCAAAAAAATAAAGGCGAGGAACTTAAAAATCTTCTAAAGGCATCGGTATAGAATATAATAGAATAACGTTTATTACTGCCATTGTGACGAAAAGAAACACATTAACAAAAGTCAAAATTAAGAAAGAATTAATTACGATACGATTTGACTCTGGCTTCTACTTGGGCGCAAATATTAACACTTAAGACGCAAACACACAAGGACGTTAACATCGGGAACCAGATCCAGGATGGCCGTCTAAGGGGAATCAGGGTAAGGGGAGATATACTCACCAACAAAAAGAGCTCGGACATCATCACATTCTCGACAAGCGAGAATACGGTGAGCAATGGTGTGGGAGACCCCATAGGTCGGACAATGATCGTCATAGGAAACGCTTTCGATGACATCTAAATCCTTCGTGCGAGAACAGGACTGCCGCGCGTCCGCGGGGACATGACTTTGGTCTAACTATTTCTGGATGTTAGGGAATAATGCTTAGGTATTGCGTCCTTTAAGGGACGCACCACTACCTAGACCTGCCATTCGCCCAGGACCAAAGTGCTTATGTGACACTTGGTAGCCGAAAAAACGGAAGTCGTTGGTAGAAATGTGGTCGTAAAACACGGTGCAGGTACTCGCCCTGTGTAGGATAGTGCTCCTGCAGAAGGAGGTGATGAGGAGGATGCTTAGCAATAACGCATAGGGTTCGTTGAGTAGCGTTCTGTTATTCTGTAAGCTGAGTGTAAGCCTCCGCTCCGGGAACTTATATAGGTTTTAAGGAATAAGGACTAAAGCGAAACCAGTTTCCTAACCACGATGGGAATGTCTGAGTCTATCAAACCAAATGTTCAAGGGGAAGAACTGGACAGTTTGAAAATCAACTCTAATGACTTCATTGGAAGATTCCATTTTAGGCGCGTGTATTTATAAAAAGGATTTTACCTTTTTCGACTATTCGAATTGCTGTCAGCCATGCTTGACAAAAGTGGTCGTATGGTCTAACAACAGTCCCAGGTACTAGAATTCTAAAACTCTGCAGAGGACTGATCGGTTGCATATGGATTTTTCTTTGTAGTTTGGAGCGAAAAACCATGTACCTACTTCGTTTTGTCTATTGAGACGGACAGTTTATTGCTGTCCGCTCAGTTCGTCAGTCATTGGAAGCTTAGGCTTGTTTGTTAAAATGTATAAAGGACCAAAAAAGTCTATCCCCGTTATGTCAAAAGGACGCGATAACGTTACACGATCTTTCGGTAAAGGTGCAAGAGGTTGATCACCAGACTTTTCCTTCAAACACTTGCACTTTAAACACTTATTAATAAAGGTTTAAACGGTTGTGTGGCTTTTACTATTCAAAATCTCTTCCGTATTGCTGATAACGTTGCGATAATTCCACTATATGTAAGACGAAGGTAATATCATTGGATGTTTCTCTTCTTCAGAAAGATACGCTTCATGAAGTCTTCCCCTTAAGCGTATAAGCTTCTTAGTAGGGAAGCTAACTCTTTGACCTGTCAGAGTATGCTCAGGTTAGCCCGGCGGTACTTCTTGCGGTACCAATTCTAAATTGTTGTTTTTTTGAGAAAATACCTACACCAAATGAAAACGTTGATGAGAGCTCTTAAAAAAATATTTTAAAAAATCGCGAATATTTCATAACTCCGTACAAAAACAATTCTTGGTCGGTTTTTTCACGATCTTTCTACGGATGTACCTACCTAGGTTACGGTTGGATTATTGAAGCTGATTTTTGTTCCGACCAATGATAGGTACCTATACTGCCCAAGATTTATTATTTACTAACCTTGCCTACTGCCAATGACTAGAATTTTTAAATAATAATAAGAAAATCTTATAATTAGAGAAAAGTATCTTTGCCATATAATATTTAAACTGCAGCATAGACAACAAAATTGTTGTACATAAGTATCGACATTGAATAAGTAATCATAATTACTTACCTATTCAATGGTATTATCGATAATCTTTTCGGTGCATGCATATTCGGATTTCAATAATTCTAAACTATTTACCATTGTCGTATGTACTTTTACCCGATATAGTAATCATAGCTTTACCCGTTAAAAAAGACTTGAAATAGGCAAATTTAGCGATTTTGTCCAACGAGTTATTTTCATGAATAGCGACGTTAAACTGTTTCCAAAATTTCGGCCAGAAAGAGACGTCACCTCTAAATTTTGCAGCGATTCTATTCCCGGTATAGTCCTAGGTATAGTCTTACCCGTGCTCTGGTAGTTGCTTTTTTGATTATTACCCACATTACTGGATCTCTTAGGATGGGTTGAATCATTCCCTGCGGCATCGTCCAACTCCTGGTGCAACTCTTCACGCAAATGCACGTCTGACTTCATTCGACGTTTCAGTGCAATACCCTTGGTTGCAGCATCTTCCTATTTTTTAATTAGGTAGTTAGATTTAGATACTTAAAAAAACGAATTTTGTGCACGATTTTCTAAGATTTTAAATATTATAATCCTAATAGACGAAGAGTTTATTTTATTGTAAATCAAACACAATATTCCACCTTTCGTAAATACAAAATCGTGCTACATTTTCGTATTTATATAATTCATGTGTGCTATTTTACAAACATTAAAAAACCTTTTCTAAATAACTGTATCTTATTATTTCGCGTTTAAAAAATCAAGATTGTCATTGTGTAATTAGATATAGATCGCAAGACCAAGATGAAATACCGAGGAATCAAACTGAATAAATTTTTTCTGCGAACGAACCAAACGTTTCCTTGGTAAAAATACATTATTTCTATTAGACTGTGATACAATAACAAAGTGAAGAACTACGTATTTTGAAAGGGATAATGTTAAAAAAAGTTTAATTACCTCTACGAGATTGGAATATGTTACCAAACCAACCTATTAATTACCTACTTCCGAGGGTTAATAAATGTTATGGGGCGAATCTTCTAAGGGCGAATTTGTCGGCGCGAATTTTTCGGATGAGAATTTGTTGGGGGCGAATATTCTCCGGGGGCGAATTTGTTGCTGGCGAATACTCCGGGGGAGAATTTACTTGGGGGCGAATTTACCGGGGCGAGTCTTCCGGGGCGAATTTACCGCACACCAATTCAGCAGATAGAGTTCCAGCGGCGCATCAGGTAATCGTGGGTCACGAGCCGGGTTTTTTTGCAACGGGAACGGAGGCAATAGTTTTTCAAAAATCCTTCCAAACCTTGACAAAAGAGCGATGGGTCGATAGTTCTCTACGAGGTTCTGGTCGCCCTTTTTGTGAAGGCAAACCACCTTTGACTATTTTAAATTGGTGTATGTATGTCGGGGAAATGATTGTTAGAAATACCTATATTCATTTATTAAATAAACTAAACGAAAAGGTTTTGCAACCTATACGCTCAGATGTCAAACTTTGAACCCGAGTTGAACAAATTCACTTTCTTCTCTAGTTGTAGGTACAAATAACTAATAAGATGATGATGATGATTCAAACAGGTCAACCAAGCACCTAATTACAGGAATCATACAATGCGATTTTCACACACATATGGCACATAGACACAAATTAATTGATTGCACCTAAAATAAAACAAAATTTAATTATTAGATATGTATTAAGATGTATTAAGTCGGTGCTATTAATAACGTAAAAATTACTTAATCAAATTTATAGTGATCTGTAACTAGTCTAGAAAAAAATTTATATGGAAGACTTAGATCGGCACCTAGTATAGACATATGTACTTCATTCAGCAGTCTTAGCAGTAGGTACCAGAATAGGCATATTAAATGTATATGCAGATCGAGCGTAAAACACTGCCGCACTCCTGGTACATATGCCTGGTATTCGGAATATAATAAGTAACTATTGTAAAGTAAGTAAACTATTAAACACCTTAAAACCAAAATTCCTAAGTAGCATTTTCCTACGGCTCTGAATTTCAAATTCCTGACGTAGACTAACTGATCTAATAAGACCGTAATTTGGATTAAAATGATATTTTTTTAAATATAAATATCTGAGTAAATTTGACACCGGACTTCTTCTGATGGGCGTCGTAGTATCAAAGAATGAATTTCTAAACCCATCGTCAAATGTTTGGTCTTGAACGTAGGTAATTGTTATTTTTCTCTTATTTTTATTTTTATTTTTATGATTTTTGAGGTTTTGTTTTGTTTTGTTTGGAGTAAATTTTTTATAATTTCAATTGTTTATAATTTTTAGCGGCCTACTGAGAGGCTTTGAAAATCGAAAAACACTGTGAATTATTAGAAATTGTTGAATTACAAAAAATATGTAAAAGATAAATATCGACATGCGTATATCATTAAAAAGTTAACAAAACCCTACATTTGTAATAAAAAAAACTTGTTGGTTGTTTGATTTAAAAAAAATCAAGTTACCTTTGATTGAAATTTTGAAAATTAATGGAGTGATTTTTTAACACAAACTTTAGCCGTTTGGCGTAGGTATGTTAGTACATCTCATAATTAGTAATACTGCTGTACTACCTACTGTTTCATGATAACTGCAATATACAATTTTTACTGGATATCTACTTTTTGAAAACACTATACCAATTGCGGCTAAACGACTCATTTTAGATACCATGTGTGCAACATAAAATCCAGAAAATAACGGTATTTGGAAATTGTATTTGTATATGCGCTGTTACGTAAAACATTACAAATCGTATTACTAGTATGTGTAATCAATTTTTTCTTCTAGTAAAGAATTTTAATAGCTCATATGGAAAAGTGTTTCAAGTTCGACTTAAACAGAAATTTCATTTCCTCACTCATTACTGTACAATGATGAACAAAATTGGACCCTTGTTGCAAACCGCCACACAGGGATTTGAATCTAAGCATAGACAGCTAAAATTGTCTCATCCCGGATTAATATCACTAAAACTTTAGCTATTGGACTCAAGATTTGTTAATAATGTAACTTTCAACATTTTCATTTTCTCGTCTTTCAGGTTCCGTTGAATCCATCTCTAATTTTCAATTCATTAAAAATAAGCTACAATCCTTTCAATTTAACAGTAGAATCGAAGAAACATGGAGAATATCAATTAATGGAAAAATGTTCAGATCAAATGTTATAATTCTATTAGATCAAGTCACTCCTAAATTTGGTAACATTTTTAAAATACTAGTAAATAACTCAAAAGCAGCTGTGTTTTATTAGTAAAAAGTTAAAAGTAGTTCCCCCAGAACAGTAAACAAGTTATTTTTTAATGAGTGAAATTATCCATTCCATCAATAACGAGAAACGTGTGACAGTTATAGTTATAACAGAATAATAATAATACGTTTTTTTTACATGGGGCAATTCATTTAGAGCGAGGTAAGTATAGGTGGTTAATTTACAATTAGTATAGCATTGGTCGCTTGAAGCTCATCAGAGAACAATAAAGCTTCTTAACCACTAGTACCTACACATACAATATATAGTATAGCCATGAAAGCTTAAAAGTTTATGCTAATCACAACTTTTGTTCGACTATAAGAGCTATTAAAGAACATTAGTAGTAGATAAATAATGATAGCTATCAATCTTCACATTAATATCTCTACAGAGCAATAAATCATGTCGTGGATATTTCTTTACAATAAAATTTAGGGTGAGTTCTAAATTATTTAAAAATTCGGAGACACAGCCATCGTCACAATTTTGCTGCTGCAGCACTCGAATACTGTATCTCTGGCAATTTTGTGCAGTTTGAATTTGGCACCGCGTTTTTAAAACTTTATTTTATTTACCCCTGGCCAAAATACAAACAATAGGCAATTGTGAAATTTATCGTTTGCACGCAGAACCTCAGTTGAAAGTTAGAATTTTTATAATTTCCTTCACATTTCCTATGATTCTGATTTTTTAGAGTAAACTTGCGAAAAGTTTAAAAACCCATCTATAACTAAGCACCTACCTATAGAACTATTAAGATTTAAGGGTCCAATTGGAAATAGTACTTAGCTAATAAAAATTGAGTCCAGAACTGTACAACCAAATAGTTTTAACTACTGTATTTAAAGTATTATATAGGAAATGCCATTTTTTACTTTAAATTTATGAACTAACTAGGTATACCCATAGTGTAAGTTACACTAAGGTATACCTACCTAAGAAAATTATACGCCAAATCTAAAGTAGACCTTTAAAAACTTGAAAGGTTTTATGAATTTGTAATTACACTTTATGTCCAATAATTGTTTGCATTTTGGACATGACAGTCAGCTATCCACAATTATACCCGTTTGGGTTTTCAAAATCCAGAGGCAATTGGAGTGGATTTTCCGAAGAAATAATAAACATAAAAGTATAAGATAATTAGATAAACATGAAATGGTTTTATCTTTAAAATCAACGCCATTGAGGCTTCTGTTCCACATTGCTTGCAACAAAAACTTGAAGAAGAAGAACAATAATTCATTTCAATATGGAACATTATATTCTTTATCTCAATGTAATCCAATTTTCTCAATCTCATAACAAGGGTTGTTCAAAACGACAAAAACAATAAACATAAAAACATTGATTATAGTATAATATTCAATGATAAAAGCATAAGATAAACATGAAATTGTTTTATCTTCAAAATCAATGCTACTACCGCTCTCTGTTGCAGATTAGATGCAACAAAAACTTGAATGGTGAGTCATTTAAACGGAAGCCTGGCGCTAACTGTAAAGTGAAATCCGACCACTGCTGCCCCCTACAACAGCAAATAATAGTCTTTGAATATACCGTAGTCGGAAAATCGGAGTGAAGACCGAAGTGTTTTCGATCTGGCAGATCAGTCTGCATGTAGTAGCAAAGATGCGGGTGTTTAGTAGATATCGGTTTTAGTTACGAAATCGACACTTTTTTTTCAAATTTGCTAGAATTACGTACTCGTCGATTTTTAGTGTAGTGCAAAAATCGATTACTTCACTGGATTAAAATTTTGCGGCCGGAGAGGTAAATCCGATTTTTTTCACTTCCAAGGTGTTTATTGCAATTTGTAACACCATTGTCTGTGACAATTAATTTATCCGCGTTGTTTGCAAAAAAGATTAATTACCTACGTCCTTGTGGCTGACCTCTTTTCTAGAGGAAACATAATCCGCAGCAGGCGCCCGATGTACCACATCTCCGTAACCCATCTGCATGGAGTACATTAATAAATTAGCGCACTCGATAATCCCGAACATGCGTAATTTTTGAGGTCTTTTGTTAATTTGCCAGAAGGCCGATGTAGTTTAACTCGCCCCGTAAAAGTGCAGGGGTTGCTTTTGTGATTCTTTCAGCAGCCGTGAGAAAATCTCTCCCTTGTAAATTTATAATGTTCCCCTCTCTCACTTGATTTTCTTCCCTTAAACTACTAAATCACCAAAATACATGGGAGAAGACCGACAATTTGATAAATATGGGGTGCATTTAAAGAGGAAATATCAATTAAGACCTGGGCTTTATCAGCACGTCAGTGACATGTGGTCTTGAAACTTCTTCTATTAATATACACATACTGATTGTGTTTAATATTTATGATTAACCGAGGCGAGGATCATTTCAAATTCTACGAAAGTCTTTCCAGTCCAAAAACAGATTTTAATGGTCTAAGAAATTTATTAGGGAATAAACATAAATTCTTTAGTTTACTGCTGCCGTTTCAAGTGAGCAGTAAGCGCAATTTGTAATTTCCAGGTCCTATCCAGGACAAAACCAATTTATCTGTATTACAAATGCTTGGTCTCCATTAATGCCGGATGCGAGGTAATTTCCTATTGAAATAAGGACAATAGAGCATCATAATAGATTGACGATACGCTGATAGTTCCGCCTTTCGTATTATTATTTTGAATTCAATGCCCCTATTTGCCTTTCGTATTGACATTACATTCGCTCGATAAGATTATAGATTTATGTCCTAACATTGCTCATATTTATCTTCCCACCCTTATTCTTCGGAAGGTTTTTCGAAAAATTGCGACAAAAACGTGAATCCATTATAAGAGAAAAAAGATTAAGTCTGAAAACCACGCGGAAATGAATTTTAAATTGACAATTATAATTTGTTGTTACCTCGCCCAAGGTTTTGTCGTGGTGTAATTATACCACTGTTGTATTATTTAATGGATAGTAGGTATGTTGAACTCTGTTGATTATGAGAGCTTGTAGCATTAATGCGATTTCGTGCAACAATTTTGGGAGTCCTTCGTAAAGTACTAAAATAAACATGAAAGTACAAGAACAGTGAATGCAAATCCACGGTATCAGGAGTAGACCAAACATAAACTTTATTACGATATGGTGTAATTAAGATAGAATACTGATTGCGTTTGGATAAGGAGTTTGTTTAAACACACATAAACACGACGTAGCATTTAAATTAAACCAAAATGATCCATGCACGACGTGCACCCCAAACCCAAGAACTGATGAATTAACATATTAATTTGTGCTCCACTTTGCATATTTTGTGTTTCACGTAGTCAAGGGTGGACCTAGGTGGGCACATGATCACTCCCAATTATTTGGGCTCTCTCTGGTGCCCCCCTGCGTACGAAAATGTTATTAAGGATCGTCGGAGACCTCCGAACCTTTATAGTTTTTATGGATGTCCGATGTCCGTCCTTTTGTCCGCTCACTCGTCTGTGTTCGCTACAACTCTTACTTAAGATCCCCAGATAAGTACTTTTTAAAGCTTTTTTGCACGATCGGTTATAGTCGGCTACTTACTAATTCATTTTCAAGGCGGTAAGGTGCACTTACCAACCTAGGGCGGTAAGTGTATCATAGCAACGTGCTTAGCAACCAAGTGACAGTTACAGTAACATGCGACAAGTAGGATATGTGTCAAAAATCAAAGTATTGTTTATTAATGTGGAAGTTAAATGTACAATTTGCAAGTTACAAAAATTAGTTCGGGAATTAGACAGGCAATTGGAAAACACGGTGTTTACAGATTCTTCACACTCAGCAGTCGATAGCGGATTTGAATTAGTACGGTATGAAATAGCAGGTTCTGTTGATGGCAACGAAGATGATGAAGGGTTCCCTGGAGTTCCACATAAAATCTTCTGAGCGGTTTCAAACTTGTTAGTTAATGACTCACCAAGTACGTGTCATCGGGTGCTTCCGTAAGAAATTTATGGAAATCTGCTTTAGAAAAAACGCTAGATTTTTTTGGCTGATACCCAACGTTCTTTCTTTTCAAAAATGCTATCAGCGTACTGTATTTAGAAATATCAACACACCTTCTTAGAAAAATCATATTTTCAACATGGAATAATCACACCATAAGCTTGATGGCGATTTCAATCCTTCACTACGTTGAACAAAATATGCTAACACAATTTTTTCACTTATGTCAGTTTGACATTTACTTTCACACCATTTAAGGAAAGAATCATATGCGGCTTCGTAACTACTTTTAAATTTTTCGGGAATGATCGATGCGCAGCCAATACTCCATGCATCTTCTATTTCGAAATCTTCTGAATCATTTAGGTATGTTCACTTAGTCTCAACCAAACCACGTTTCGCGCACGTGTTGTTTTGTTTTCAAAAACAGAAACGTAACTGTAGCAACCCACAAAAAATTACTGAACCCATGGTGATGCTACCACATTGATACATTCGAATTTAGTTTATATCAATTATAAATTGATCGTGCAAAAAATAGCGTAAGCACCACGGTCAGTAGGTGCTTAACCGATTTCGGATAATATTGCAAACCTCGAGCTGCGCTCTCGGTTTGCAATTATTATCCTCAACCAGTAAAGTACACCTACTGACCTTAATACTTAATATACTATTAATTTTTGTCCGTCCGTCCGTCTGTCCTTCCATGTGCGGGCGTAACTCTTTTTAAAAGTGGCCGATCGTACGCGTTAGGGTACGGGTGGATATTAAAGGTAGGACCTCGGGTAGGACTACGCTATTGATTTTCAGGAAGTTGGCTCAACAGGAACAAAAGGTATACGACATTGACTGAATCGGGAACAGGAAAAACAGCGTGTTCAATATAATAGAAATCAACATATTTCATTGCCTAGGTCACAGATATCTGTGATATCAGTACATCTGTGTCCTCGTCTGTGTCTAGTTGATAGGTCATTGTATAGTTTCGCTCTTTTATTTATTGTGACTCTAACTCGGACTCTTAGATGTGTAAAAATTCAATATATCTCTTCTCTGTGGTCTAGGACTCTAGGTCAAACGTTTTAGAGCAAAATGTACCCAAAATTATTCTTTCCACATAAATTTGGAGTTGTAAAAGCGTTCAAATGCATTAAACGCGTTATCTTAATGCCGAAAGTATACATCACATGCACATTTGTGTGTTTGAGGTTCTGAGGTCACATGTATTTTGAACAAAGCATGCCAAAATCGTTATTCTTGCACCAAGATCGTTGTGAAAAAGACTAAGAGCATTATCTCAACACCCAAGATTTGATTTTGATGTATTTTTGTTGACCATATGTATTTTGATGGAACCAAATTTGGTACACAATTACACATAAGTATTCTCAGACATACAAGGAAGAGCTAAAAAGTTTTTGGGCAGTATTACGCACGCGCAGGGGTGTAGATGTTATCTGCGCTATTTTTAATACGCTAAAATACGAATCTGATGTCAACATTGTTTTCATAGTTTACTATATGTACATCCATCAAGTGTACAGACTGTTTCAATTACAAAAGAATAAGTATTACCATTATTTCTACTTGATAACACATGTAAAAGATATTCAGTTAATCAGCTAATTTTTGTAAAAACAAAGAGTACGTCAAATTCGGCTCGTAAAACTGCAACTCTTTCTTTGTAGAGGAACACTTGTGAAGCTTGAAAGAGTCATCAAGAGCCTTGTGGGGGCTTCTACTTCTTGAACTCGTTCTTGAAGGTCGTAAAATCAAGAGGAGTCATTGGGAATCTTTCAGAGCACCATAAAGCTTGAGTTTTTTAAAACGTTTTCTTTAATTTTACCAGAATCTAAGAACTTTAAGGAGGTTTATTGGTCGTTAAGGACGAGGTTAAGGATAATTAAGCCAGCGGTGTTTCTCATGAAGTCATGATCTCTTAAGTCCAAGGCCCGCTGACACGCTCTTAAAAGCGTTTGAGAGTCTTTAAGAGGGTGAGTTTTTAGCGAGGTTTTTAGCGGAATTTTTCGAAAGAAATTCTGCTTATGTGATGGTTTTGTCCGTCTCTCCGTTCCTCGTCTTGCTCGAGGACGAAAAGAGACGACAATGTCAAACCTTCGCCCATCGATTTGTACGAGTTCAAGGATCAGTGCTATTCAATATGAGTAAAGGAAACAAGGGGATATCTCGAAAACGGTTTTAAGTATTTTTAAAAAATTTTGGGTAATTAATAAGGACATGGGAGGGGTACAAATTTCTTTTTCAAATTGGGTGGGGTGACGTTGACATTTTAAATTGAGTGACGCAGTTTTGTTTTAAAAAATGCACATTAAGTTAGTCCCCCTCCCCCTACTACATTCAATTTTTTCTAAACCATTTCATATAAGTATAGGTGCTGTCGAGGGTGCTGTAATAGGTACCATTAACAAAAATTTCGTCCTTTGACCGTTGGGAACAAGTTTTTTTTATGTTGATGAGGATCACTTAACATCAAGCCCCCCCCCCCCCTTACAAAAAAGTATCGTCAGTCAACTTTTAAAAATACACGACCGTAGCGACGAAAATTTAGACATTGTACGAGATAAAAAAAAAGTTTTATATAAAAGTTACTATCTTTGATACGCTTAATTTTGAATTGATGTCAAAAAAATTCAAGGTGGCAACTTTCGAGGGACATTTACCCACGAGTTTACCCCCTTCCTGAAGTTAAATAGGCGTCATAAGTATTGGATTTTTAGATTCCTCAATAGAATTTTTAATTCTCTTTTCAACAAGCTATCATAGCATAAGATTGAAAATAAGATACCAGTTATATCGACGGTTTTTATATTTTA